CAGATCTTCCTCTACCAAAACTATTCCTCACAAATCCTCTATTATATCCACTTCTTTCTCTGTTTTCTCTTCTATAATCTGTTGCATTTACTAACATTGCACTATTCTCATTAGACTCTGGAAATATGGTATGAACTTCTCTTTGCTTTTCAACTCTCAATATCATGGAATAAGCTTTGTTCACAGATGGGAGTGGATCCATAACCAGAATCTGATTTCTCATATGGTCGAATGTGTCATTTAATCCCATCAAAAACTGAATCAGCCGATTAAAAGTGGTCATATCTGTTACTTCTTTTGATGCATTGCAGGTGCAGGTAGGCATCGGCATTAAACAAGTGAGTTCATCCCAAAGTTTCTTCAGCTTTGTATAGTATTTCTCAACCGTTAAAGCACCTTGAGATATGCTACTTATCTCTCTCTGCAATTGATATAACATTGGTCCGTTACATTCTCCATATCTCTCCTTTAATTCCAACCATAGATCCCTAGCAGATCTAGTATAAATGAATGCTTCAACAATATCCTTTGCAATTGAGTTCAATAGTCATGACCTAACCATGCAGTCGACTCTATTCCATTGTTCTAACTTTGAATGATTCTCAACAGCTGGTTTATCACAGCTTCCATCGATAAATCCCAATTTTGATTTCGCACCCAAGGCTATAAGAACAGATTTGCTCCAGCTAAGATAATTTCCACCTGTTAATACCGAAGTGACTAAGATCATCCCAGGATGATCTGAATTTTGGAGATCCAGTGGATCTCTGTTTGAATATTCCTTCCCCGTTTCTGCATCTCCAGTTTCTGATGCCAGCGGATCCTGTGGCGCCATATCTTCAATTGATGATTTATTCTGTAATTAGGATCTAGAAATGTCCTTGCTCTGATACCATGTAGAAATCAGACAAACAATTGAAGAAGACTTTATTTCTATTTAATCTCATCTTCACACCTTTAGAAGTGAGGACTGCATCCATATATATACAGATGTAATAGTCCAAAAGAAAAGCAACTGAGAGAGAGAGAGAGGACCTAACAG